CTATAAATATTTGCTAAAAGTAATTATTAAATTATTACTATTTGTTACATGAACTAATATTAAATTCTAAATATTATTTTAAAGGTTATTATAGGCTATTACAGGTGTTTTTAATATTATTTTATCATTATATTTTCATTCTGTAACACTGTAAAGTCACTTTATCAGGTGGTTCTTGAGAAAACCAAGGACCACCGGTGACAACGTCCGTAAAAATTTATGCCATAATTTTTCCGTAAATTTTCGTAATTCTGGCGGAAATTTTCATACGTCACAAAAATTTCCACCAGAATTACAAAAATTTACGAAAAAATTATGACATAAATTTTCACGGACGTTTTGAATTTAAACGTGAATTTCTCCACAAATATCGATGCTATAGTAATGAAACATATATCATCTTGTAGCCAAAAATCAGGGTTTTCGATCTATTTTAGAAATATCTTAGTAGAAAATCACTCCCTGTCATCTAAATTTCGGCCAAAGTTAAAAATCAAATTTTTCAAATGAAAATTTTCGGAAGTCATGTGATATTTCCGTAAATCGACGCCTAATTAAATTTCTTGATGGAACACCTACAATTTCTATTTATATTAAGGACAAATGGTGGAGATCCAATTTGGTAAGATCAATAATTATAATATATTTTTATACCTATCGGGCATAATATTAATAGATGATATATATATCAAATAATATTTTATAGTTAAAGAAGTTATTGCACAAAAGAATCGATCCAACGATTGATCTTTTGTGTAAGCTGTCAAAAAATTCCAAGCTTCAAATTAGATCTCTACAACATATGCTGAACAAAAATGAAACAAAAGTTTCAAAAGGTGTGCCTATTTGAACTCTAAATAAAGAAGCATTAAAAATAATAAAGTGAGATAAGAAAACCATCCCAATTTATGATCCCGATACCTCAGATTAAGATAATGATAACAATAATAATGACGATAATGACAGCGATAATGATGATGATAATAATGATAATGATGAAGTAGAAACTAGTAGTAGAAAAAGAAAAAGAAAAGGAAGAAGAAAAGAAAAAGAAAGAAAAAATAAAAAATCTAAAAAAAATAAAAAAAATAATTGATAGATTTAAACGTGAACATTAAAAACATTTTATATAGTATAAATAGTATAATTAACAATATATAATATGTATAACGTTTTTCATTTTATATTTTTTATTAATAAATAATATATTTCCTTTATATTTTATAATAATAAACAAAAATATGATTATCGGTAATAAGAAAATGAAAATATATAAATAAAAGTCACCGATAGGTATCTGATAGTAAGAAAAAAGCTCCTGATATTGAAGAATATATAGTGACCGATATATACCTGATATACTATACCAATATATTGAAGATATGTGCCTGATAAAAAATAAATGAAATTGGGTGCTCGATAAGTATATGATATATTTTAAAAAAATGCCAAAAAATCGAAGTCCGATATGTGTCTGATATCTGTTAATATGTGCTCGAACTTCGGCATACTCACTCTACCTATTGGGAACCCGATATATTAAAATTTATTGAAAATTGGACACCTATCGTATACCTATCGGATATCCGATAGGTGTACGATAGGTGCTGATTTTCCACAATTTGACCAGTGATACATGCTGTACATCTAGAACTTCATAAATTTATGAAACATATGCTAACGAAATAAATAGATATATATGAATAAGTTATACATGAATAAGTTATACATTAGCATAAGCAAGCCTTCGGCTAATAAATTAATTGAAAAAATGTGTATTATGTTTCAAGTTCTAAAAGTCACTTTTGAAATCTAATTCGCAATTGACTCTTTTTACTACCTGACCAACTCCATGGATAATAATATTCTTCATATTTTCTATTAATAATGGAACTATGCATCATGGGATTGTTTTTATATAATTCAATCCATTTAGTACACCATTGATTAAATTGTTCTCGAGTCTGAGGATTTTTTACTTGATGTCAAGTTAAACCTAGAAATTTCTTATCATCTGAAGTATTATCATTTGATAAACTGTTCCAGGTGAGTCGTGCATCTGACGGTTCCCTTTCTCTAAAATTTCTCCAAAGTCTTTGTATAACCCTTGCACACCCAAACTCAGTTTGTGGTCTTGAGGAATCATAAATGAATTGTGGTCTTGAGCATTCATAATCATAATGATCTTTCATTAAATCGAATTGACTTGCTTTTGAACCTAAATTAACATTGATACGCATAAGTTTCATACATTGGAAACATATTGCAGTACCATCTTCATATGGCTTACCTCTGCTGTAATTATATTTGTCAAAATTCGCACCTTGAACATGTGAAGCGTAGAAACAGTAAATTAAATAAAAAATCTTATATGAAAATTATTTACAAATGAAAAAATTATTTTTAAATACTGCTTGTGAAATTGCTATAAAAAGAGGTGGGTTATGCCTTTCAAATAAATATATTAATGGTAAATCCCATTTGCAATGGAAATGTGTTAAAAATCATGAATGGAATGCAACACTTAATAATATAAAATATCAAAATACGTGATGTCCATATTGTGCAGGTAAAATTTGTCAAACTCTTGAAATTGCCAAGATAATTGCAATCAATAAAGGTGGAGATTGTATTTCAAATAAATATATTAATAGCAAATCCCATTTGCGATAGAAATGTGTCAAGGGTCATGAATGGGATGCGACACTTGATAATATAAAATATCAAAATACATGGTGTCCATATTGCGCAGGCCAAGCTAAAAATACTCTCGATATTGCTAAAATGATTGCAATCAATAAAGGTGGAGAGTGTATTTCAAATGAATATATTAATGGTTCATCTCATTTAAGATGGAAATGTATTAGAGGTCATGAATGGAGTGCAACACTTCAAAGTGTAAAAAATAAAGGTTCGTGGTGTCCCATGTGTGTTGGACGGAATCGATCTATTGAATATATGCAAAATTTGGCACAGAAACTAAATGGGAACTGTCTTTCAGATAGATATAAAGATGCACATTCTAAACTAACATGGAATTGCTCTAAAGGACATATATGGAATGCCACATTTGCTAATATAAAATATCATGGCTCGTGGTGTCCACATTGTAGTAACAAATATACACGTGAAAATTTATGCCGTCTTAAAACACCAAAATATCCCGTAGGATTAGAACTTGATATTTATTATCCAGAATATGGTTTTGCAATCGAAGTACAAGGGCAACAACATGAAAAATACATCGAATTCTTTCACAGAAGCGATCCCAATAATTTCATCAAACAGCAGGAACAGATCAACTCAAGAATGAATTGTGAAGAAAACTGGATTGTTTTAAGGTATGTTTGGTATTACGAAGACCCATATATAGTTATCCCAGAGCATCTTCGAGAATTGGGTCTTATTAAGTAAGCTTATAAACTTTAAATACTTTTGCAATCCATTAAACCAAAATTATCTTTTTTATTGAGTTATACTTTCAATTTGAGGTGACAAATGCCTCTTTTTTATTCATGATAAAATACAATTTGAATAGTGCGTGCTAGAAATAAAAGCTTATAGGCCAAAATTATCTTTTTTGAGGAGATCGTGTTGTTTCGGGTAGATTGCCAATTGAGAATAACTCTTTTGATCTCGTTTGTAGCGCACGTTTTTTAATTCTTGTAACGATATCAAGAGTATGAATTATACCTTTCTGTAATCATCGGAAAGAAATAGTTAGAAAAATGAAATGAATTGGCAAATAAACATAATATAAAAACATACCTTTAGATTCAATATATCTTTTAGAATATTGAGACTTTCTGGAACACTATTCCATGTTGTACCGATTCTATATTGACACATCTCAAATACAAGATAATATCTAAGATTTATGTCATAGTACATAGCATAGACTTTCCCATTATAACCTTAATAAATATAAAATCGGTTTAAGTTGATTTTCAAGGCGAGATGCACGAAATTTTCTTTATAAATTCTATAATTACCGCCATGTGATATACCATGTAAAACAATCTGTTTCACAAGTTTAATCGTTTCTTTTGTAAATTTCAATTTCTTCAATAGACGATCTAGTTGGTCTTTCATCTCTCTAAATAGTTTATGTTTGTAATTTATTGGTTTGGAATTCTGAAAATCTCCGTCGACAAATGTCTCTGCTCCGAAATACTCCATATCATCTACGCGAAAGATAATATCGATTTTGTGTCCAGGTTGTTTTTTACTAGATTCTTCTCTCAATAAATTTTTACGTGAAATTGAAGCTAAAGACATTTCTTCACATCTAGAAAACAAATAAAGTTAATAATTATCTACCATGTTAAATTCCGCCAGAAAATTTCATGCTCACCTAAGAATTTGAATCTCTTCGCACATTAAGAAACAATCGTCGATCAGTGGAGTTAAAAGGTGGCAGTTAATCCAACCTTCGGAATTTTTATCCAGAAGAGGGTTACGCGGTGCTTCAAAAAACGATAGCCTATTAATGAAACAAAAAGCAGGACAGATTATTATTTCAAATATAAATAATATAAAATTTCAATGTAGACAATGCAAATGCCATCTAAAAGGCGCATTAAGCTTACAATTTATCAGCAAACCGGAGAGCCCAACTAATTTCATAATGTTTCTCAAACGAATATGTTTCTTCTGGTGGTAGGAATGGAGCTTGAAGTTTCTTGCGGAGATCACTGCGATTATGACTCTAAAAGATAGGGATATTATAAGTTAATCTGTAAAAATGAAAATTATCTATGCCTTAAAACATACGTTCTCAATTAACTCATCAATATATTTTGTCGTGGCATTGAAAATAGGCTCTACGTAGTAATCACGTTCTAATTGTAACCTTGTCATCAAATTCTTATTTGTAGCATCGATAATATTTGAACAAATTGGTTCACTAATACAAACAATATCGATAAAGTTAATAGATAATATAATAAAGGACTACAAATTCGCTTCAGCAAAAAATAGTTCGTTTACATATTTAATTTGGCGTTTTCTTTCTCTTTATCCAGTTGATCAAGTAAGTTTTGGTTAACAGTTGTAGAAATTTGGAGAGGAGGTGTGCCATTTCTGATCACATTATTTCCTTTGGACTATTCACGCCCAAAAATAATAAAATCTTTAGATAAATCCTATTTTCTGAAATATTATCTATGCCGAGCTTATTACCTTATTGTTTCGCACACCTTTGGCATCGCTCCCGTGATAATTTGAGATCTCATAGCCACTCTGCGTGTAGCACGCTTTCGCTGTTGCATATGTAACGTCTCTCGCTATATTTTCGATTTTACACTAATAATTACAAGATATGAGATGAAAAGAAAATAGATGAAAGAAATCACGCAAAATTAATTGTTATTATAATGGATAAGATAACTAAGCTTAATGAGAATTATTATACCTCGTCATTTTCCTTGTCGGAAAGGTCTTTTGCAGAAAGATTTTGAGAAGATTCGTCGATCTCATCGCTTGATTCCTACAGAAACCAAGTCAGTATAGTTAAATGTGCAATAAAGTAATGTAGAAATATTAAGAAATTACATTAACCTCTTCGCGACAGTCGGCTATCTTTCTTCCACTTTGCGTTCGACGTTGTCCTTGCTCATCATATTTGAGTCTTTTCGATGACTGGTATTCATCCACGAATTCCTCACCAACATCTTCTCCTACAACTTCATATATATCGAGTGTTTTTAAACGAAAGGTTCTTTTTACGCGGTTCTATGATTATGTATAATGGTTTTAGCCACAAACTAACATGTGCACAAGTAAAGGTTTTTCACTTGCCTTTTTACGTTCATCTATCAATTCCTCCCAATATGCACGAGTATCCTATTAGAAATAATGTATAACTTGAATGGCATGCCTTATAATAACAAGAGGCACAGTATCACCTCACTCAAAACAAAATATATTATGTCGCAAATAATGGGGGCTAGGAAATGTACCTATGCTCTGGATTCAGGTAATACCTGTCAAGAGGTACCCCATTATCACTCGGGCTAGGAAAATGTACCTATACTCTGGATTCAGGTAATACCTGTCAAGAGGTACCCTACGGTCAACTAAGTTGAAATATATTTACCTCTTCCGCGAAAAGTGGCAGATTAAATTCTTTTGAAGCTTTCTTAAATCGTCCGTACCACGCACCATTGAGTCCTTTCCAATCGCACGATAGCGGAGGTGTTTTGATAATTATGGTGCGTTTTGATTTCAAAAACCCCAAGTATGACACGGAACCGGGTGCAGTACTGGTCAAGTAAGATTCGAGAGCTATTGAAAGCAAAGTATGACCGATTAGCGTCTAATACAAAAAAAACTATTTTCCTTAAATTTTGAAATAATGATTGCCTGTTTGGCCAAGATATTTCTCGGTCGACATTGTTGATTAACTATTAGGAAACACGCATCATTTTATGTGATAAATAATCAGCAGAAAAAATAACACGCTCACATGATACTGCATACAAAAACCCGAAATAACTTTATTTATATCTGTAAAATTATTTTTTTCATTACAAACTACAATTGTAAAGGCCAGCCTATATAATGGAATAGCAGTTGTTTCAAGGGAGGAATAAAGCATGAAAATTTATGCCTGTCCGCCCCTAGACGCTCACAAAGTGAGAATGACAGTTCCTTCCTGCTATTCCGTATTACTAGCTAAGTTATTGTTATTGTTATTGCTATCATCTAAAATTATATTACTGCTACTCGAAAAATTATTATTTCGTGAGAAATGGCTCTCCGAGCCTCTATTGCTACTACTGCTAATGATAATCGAGTTATCTTTTTTCCGATTTACTTTTTCAACCCATTCTCCGATTTTATCCAATGAAGTCTTTTGCGGGGATCTCTGGTGCCAATAAAAAGTAGCAAGTGTAGATTGATTTCTATGGATAAGGCATTATATAATTTCGTAGGAGAGCGTTTCTCTCTTTTTCTTCTCTCGTCAAATAGGGCAGTAAATTCAACCCAGAGAGTTTCGATTTCAGTAGAATATTCGGACCTGAGACTTGTTATAGATGCTTGCCCTAGATATGGAATAATGTGGGTTAGCAAAATATAACCACCTTGAGACGGCTTTCACCAAAATTATGCTAGCTCATTAAACCATGAACAAGTGAATTTACAACTGTTTCACAAACCTCTACTTCGAACTTCACTTCTCCATTCCAAATCTTTTTCTATTCTTGCATGATCATTTTTTAGAGCCAACATATCTCGTTTTAATTCTTTTATATCCTCATCCAACGTAGTGGAGATTGGAGTTGGAATTGGAGTCGGGGTTGGGATGGGAGGCAGAGTTGGAGATACATATTTTCGTAGATAAATAAATACTACAGCGATAATTACATAGAATATTGTATTTTCTGGGATAACGGAATAAACTATCTCTATTGTTAAGATGCTCCGATTATATAGTTCGTAGATGGCAATTATGGCAATGAAAATTGCAAATAAAAAAATATCAGAAATGTTAAGTTGCATTTTTTTGTAGTTATTTGTTTTGTAATTAATAAATCGATTAATTATTGATTTTGACATTTGGTATGACTCAATCCCTTATCCAAGATTCCAGCAATATTGACATGTTTTTATACGTCAGAGCTTGACATCAACGATCCATGGCATTGGTTCTTTACATCTCGTATTAAATCGAAGCAATAAATTATAATACATGGTGATTTCGTACTATTTATGTCGATTATTGTGCATCGGATGATTGTTCACCTATAAAATCATCTAAATCATCTGTACGTATATCGTCGATAATTGACAATTCCTTATATATACCACATGATTCTTGTCTGTTACTTAATTTAAATGTAGTATGCACCTATTTCAGAATAAATGACACTTTGGCTCTGCATCTCACGTTATCTCAAACACATACTTCGATCACGGGTAGTAGAAACGTGTACGTAATACATAATAAATATGCATATGTCAATTAATAAACTTACCAGATGATTAATTTATTTCTTATGAGATTTTTGCTTTTTTACAGTTGTGACTTTACACACACCTTCCGAACCTGAATTGGAGGAATAATAAGTGTCAGAATTAAAGTCAGTATCTGAATCTGTGGAATATCTGACCTCACCTTTCTTGCTCTTATTTTGATGTAAACGAGAATTAGAAGGACCTGACTTGTTACCCTTTAACTCTACCAACTTTGCTTTATTTATACAACTTAATTCATACTCAATAATATGAAGTTTTTCAAAACTCCATACTCTATATCATTTTCTATAGAATGAACTGACTTTCAAATATTATTGAGATGTGTTTTTATTGAAAACTTTTCACACCCATCACGTAAATCTACTTTAGGATATTTCTTATTCTTGCTAACTCTTTTATATGTTGGAGATACAGGAGGTATGTTGCCATGATGCCTCTTTCGTTACTTATTATCTTCGCTTCTAAGAGATAAATTCTTGAACATATTCGTGAGTTCCTCCAATAATAGATCAAACTTAGGTAAGTTATTTTTTGTGGTGCTGGCTTTATTAAAATCTTCATCGATTAATAGGATACTTATATCATCTATTATAATTTTAGCACGGTGTTCACAGGTTTCAGAAGAAAATTCAAAGCTTATTTTCGCTTTATGCATCCATAACCATTCCCGTTCCAGCATTAAATCAAACAATAGATTTTTGCAAATTTGAAAGTCTATTACTTCAGTGGCATCTAAGCTTTGCCACTTTCTTTTATAGCAAAATTGTAGATCTAAGTATTTTATTTCTTCACCTATCAAATCATCACCAGATATACCTTCCAACCCATAATCTTCTTCAAGATTATCGAACAATCTCTTACTAATGGTATTAAATTTCGAGGATGTATCAATTAACGCTTTGACTGGGGTTTTTCCTTCTATGAGACAATTTATAAACATTGGTAAAATAATTATATTATATACTATATCTTTAACCAGAAAAAATAACTAAGTTTAGATAATTAATTTTAGACAGATATATTATAAGTCAATAATTTCTGATATATAAATTCCTATTAAATTATATTTGTATTAATAATGAAGACATTATTGATTAATTAAGAAGTCCTAGTACCAGTAGTTCATCTTGAATAGTCTTTTCTGGATCTTTATCATTATATCAAATATAAAAGAGATAAATATCATTTTTGTCACAAAGGTCTTTTTTAAGCTGATCACGAATTAATAAATTATTAAATCCTTCTAGGGTTCTGTGAAAATGTTTGACATAGCATTTATGTTGTTCTCCCTGAACTTCTATAGCTAGACTATATTGAGTATAATAAATATCAAGTTCCAATCCATTAGAATATTTAGATGTTTTTAAGAAATCAGGCCTACGATTCTTAGATGGTGGTGAGCCTAACAATTTTGTTACAATTTCACGACACAGATTTTCACGTATATATTTACTACAGAATGGACACCAACATCCTTTAAGAATGGTATGTGATGAAGCAGACCAGATATGTCCTTTAGTACAGTGCCAATCTAGATTATTTACCGAATTGATATATACTGATGAAAGACAAAGCCCTCCCCTGTCTTTTGCAATCTTTTTCATCTCTTCAATTGTATGAGTTATTCTTCGTTCCTTATAGCAACATAGACACCAAAATTTGTTATTTTTAATACTATCAAACGGTGCTAACTATTCATGCCCTTCGGAACATTTCCAATGTAATGGTATACGATTATTGTAATATTTTTCAGAAAGACATTCTCTATTTCTATTATATGCTACACATTTAACCTCTTCAAGAGTACAAGCTCTAATACGTGAACAAGTTCGACATCAAGTATTACAATTTTTTATACTTCTTAGAGTAGCATATCATGTATAAAATTTATTACATTGTCAATATAAAGGAGTTCTAGTATTAATATACTGAATGGAAAGGTATTTTCTGTTTCTTTTTCTAGCAATTTCAATAGTATCATCTAATGATAATTTTTTTATTTTGGAATAATATTACTTTAAGATTCTATACTTTTAATTTCAACAATAGTATCAACGAACATGTTAAATATAGTTAATAATGTATATTACCACGAAAAAATAACTAATAACTTGATAAACATCAGGAAATTTTTCGGGACGTAAATTTCCGTAACACAAACGGGACCCACGGAAATTTACATCCAAAAATTCAATTTTTTTAACTTTGGTCGCAATTTACGAGACAGTAAACGATTTTTTACTAAGGTGTTTCTATGACAGATCGAAAGCCCCGGTTCTTGGCTACAAGATGATATGTAAATTATTCCTGTAGCATCGATATCCGCGGAGATATTCACGTTTAAATTTTG